ATATAAAACACATTTTTTTAAAATAATTTTAATAATATGATTATCACTACAGTAGAACCCCTATTAAAGGGACACCTTCAGGGCAAAATGAGTGTCTTCTAAGGGGTACACCTATTAAAATTAGTAACTCAAAACATGAAAATGTCCTCTCAATACATGTATTTTGTTGATACGTGGTCTTAAAAAATTACATGAAATCTTGATAATTTAGTTTTATTGACATAAAATGAGTAAAATGTTAAAATAAAAATATATTTCCAATGCAAATTATATAATTTGGCTAGAGGTAATTGTGACTGCTTCTTGTGCTGAAGATCCCGGTTCAAACCAGGCCAGCTTTGGGTTTTAATTGGAGTTTGGTCGCTTGGCTTGTCAAATAACTCTCATATTAAGAGTTGGCGGGTTAAGGACAATGTTTGTATCCGTCTGTGTCCGTTATTTGTTGTAGTTAAGTCGGGCGCTACACTGCGGCTGCTGGCTGCCGCAGGTCCCCAGGTCCTGTCCAGTGGCGGCTCTAGGATATATTTTCTGGGGGTGAGGGGGTGCTAAGTTGTCCGACAGGGGGACTTGAGCTCGTAGGCTCGAGCTTGGAGAAGGGGTTAAGAGGGGGTTCCCCCTCCCAAATGAGATTTTTTTAAAAAGAATATCAACCTCTAGATGACCGAAAATGGCACTCTCAGACTGTGACAGACATGTGTTGGCTTGTACATGGTGTGGGCCTATTTTTATATGTTTTATAGGGGGGGGGGGGTTAAGTCCCCCTGCCACCCCGCTGGCGCCGACACTGGTCCTGTCTCATTAATAGCGGTGTCCCCTTTAAAGGAGTTGGCTGTAGAGTTAAATGTTCCTTTCACTGCAAATAGGGATGTCTCCCAGAATAGGGATGTCCCAAAAGAGGGGTTCTACTGTACTGCCGGTACTTACTATTACTGTTTCACCAGATTCCAATTTTGTATTATTGAATTGTGGATGTAGGTATTCACATTAATTTATGGGCGTCATGTGATAGATAATAAGTGCCAGAATCCATGAAGAGGCATATGAACTATTGAAACATTAAAACAGCTCACCACGTGCGACTAATGAAATACAACAGAACAAAGTTTACGTGATGATGTTTACTCAGCATCTATACAAACACGCTTACAATAGGATACAAGTGATTGCCCTCAAGAGAGGGCAGTAGACTAACAATGAGGCCTTTGCACTACTTTCAGGAATGATTTAGGGTTGTTTTCTCTATATCTAGTAGGTCTAGCCATATGATTATGTAGTGTTTAGTAGGTCTACCTACGGTAGAAACCCGGTCTATGGCTTGAAAGTTTGTGATTGCGTAGCTTCCATTGGTGGTTCGGTCATTGCGTTTTGTCCATTTTCAGCTGTTGATAGAGGATGTCTAAACCATTTCAGTTGATCCAAAAAAAGGGGGATAGTCACTGGCTCAAGCATGTCTGTATACTAGTTTTATATTATTAAACTGGTAGCCAGTTATTTTACAATTTCACTTTGATTATTTATATTTTAAAAATTCATTCGTATCCAACAAGTCTCTTTTAGATTAGATTGAAGTTTTTGGTTGTAAGAAAAAGTCCTGCTTTCCCATGAATAGAACCCAGAACCCTAAGCAAAATAACTCCACTTTATTAAAAAAAATATTCTTGTATTACATTGAGTCGTCAGTTACGGATACATAGACCTGTCTACTGTTGAAATCAATGATTGGATGGTTTATCCTTGCGTTGCCTCCATTGGTTGGTTGGTAGGTGTATTTATTCCAAATTGGTCTTCTGTCAGCGGATGCCGTGTCAACATTGTCTAAAGAATGTGAAATAGGCCTACTCTGGTAGTTGAAGCCAGTGGTTGGGTAGTTTATTCCTGCATTGTCTTAATTGGTGGGTCGGTCACTGAGTCTTGTCCAGTTTGTTCTTCTGTCAGCAAACGTTGTATCGATTCTGTCTGAAACATGTCAGACACCCTAGCTGTTGATCTGACAGTGGGGTTGTCCACTAGGTCATCAATGCCTGTGCAATAATTTTAAACTTTTACATTTTGCCTTTAAGTCTATTTTTTTAGAAATCAGTGTATTATATATATA